AGGTTTCTAAATGTATTTTTATTATTGTAAAAGGTCAGCAGATATTATTTCCAGTAAAGAAAGCATACAAACTATTATGTAGTACTTGATGATGTTAACAAGTAATCTTAAATACTTCACTTTCAAGTAATTCTTGGCTACGTAATGACTTAATTCAGTAATTGTTTATTAAGTAGAAATACTTGTTTATTAATAAGAGTGTGTAGTATTTAGTTACTCAAACGAATTCACCATATCGTCTTCGATAAATTAAACAATATAAGCGCTGCAAACGCTTAATTTATAAATCGTGTCTCCCGATATTATTTGTTCTTCGGCTGAATGAGCCGTCGCAGTGAGCAAACAGAGAGCGACTGTAACGGGAACTTGCATTTCCTTGCGGACTAATAACTGATATCTATATTTTTTCTCTTATATATGTATAACTTAATAATTAAAAAATTAATTTTTGTTTGTTCGTATTTTATGCGCAGCCATACTGTTCATCAGATTGCGGTAAAATTTTGTCAACATATTGCTTTCTCTTCCGCGAAGGTTATATGCATTCTTGGAGTCGGTAGGTGGCGCTGTTGTACAATCCACATATCACCCGACCAAAGTCGATGCAGATCGCTAGTTGAATATAAATTATGACTTTACTCTTTTTTTTAATACCCCAAGACTTGGAGTTTCTCCTGTACCGTACAGGAAATACTTATTATGACAATTTTGTTATATTTTTTCGAATTACCTTTTGGCTTAGCCAAAGTCCACTACTGAACACAGGCCTTGTCATAGATTGATTCGTTGAGAGTGTATGTGCCATAAATGTCTTCTCATTTATTTGCCTCATTAAGACAACCATGGGACGGCTACAGGGTTTTATGGGGTGCGCCTATCTGGGCCTCTTCACTATGAAATTTTTATTTGTGTTTTTTTTAGAAGTTAAAACATTTAAAATGAAATAAAATATTTAAAGTTATTTGAAATTATAAAGTGAATGGTCATTTAAAACATGACTATTCACTTTATACCAAATAATTTGCTTTTATGTAAAAGACTTGCGATCCGTCTCGATTTCGGCTGGTTAGGTCATTTACATTTTTTATAATCTTAAATAGTCACCAATAACCATTAATTTTATCAGTTTGTTAATGTTCCAAAAATATACTACAAGTTTTACGAATTAAATGTTAGTTACTTGATAGTTGAAGATAATACAAGACCATTTCAAGTTTAATAGATCAGATCATGTGAGTATGAAACAATTTTTAATTTATTTGTAAAAACATTATATACCCTAAATTATTTGGAATAAATTCTGTAAGTACGTATAGAGCGTCGGCAGTTAATTTATCTTTCCTTTAGGTCGACATTGTTCCAATTCTACAGATTTTCCATGTGACGTAATATTAAAATATATAGATAAGATATTTCCATTTATTTGAATCATAAGTGGTAGACTCTTCAAGTTTGTGGAGCTCCAGAAAAAGTTTATTCCAATGATACATCCTCGAGATAATTTTTCTATACGTCATTCCAAATCGAATAAGCTATCGCACATATTTTTAGGCGCTTAAACAAAAATTAACACGTTTTAAATTTGTTGATTAAATTATATTTAGGTATAACTATTCCAAATTTCATATAAGTAGTAGCACCAGTTCCGACACAAACACTGACCCTTTTTATGCTATCAAAAACTTTTTAAACCAATTTATTATTCCTAATTAAGTATATAAATTTTATTTACTTTTGTAATTCACTTTTAAGTTCTTTTATTCTGATACCATACTGGAAAGGTTTGGTAATTGTTTTTATTATCGTATTACCGCTTTAGGAAACCCGGTTTTTTCCTTATATTTTGCCTAACACACTTAAAACAATTTTAATTCGAGTACATTGAAATTATGCTAATATCATATGCTGGTATTTTGTGACATCATGATTCCTCCCCGGTTGAGTAGTTCCATTCGTGCTGCAGCGATTTTACACAGTATCGTCTCTACAACGTAAGAAGTTGGTACAGAATATTTACGTTCATAGATTAATAAAAAATACGTTAGACTTTCTACAGGCCATTCCTGCAACTTCCCGCTAATTTCAAATGCAAAACAATTAATTTTCATAGCGGGAAGTTAAAAAATATAATATATAAGAGAAAAGTTTTAATTATTAAACTTTTTCCTAAATTTCATAAACAGGTATTAATGTCAAATTATCCTCTCATATTAAAGGACAATGAACTTTAAAAAAGGGTCATTACGATCCAACGACGAAATTAAGAAAATTTCTCGACCTTCTTATTGTAAAAAATCAACATGATATGACCATTGTTCTTTTTCATTTCTACGAAATGCTTACTTTTAGAAGCCAACTTTGAATAAAACAATAATGTGTTTTCATTTATTTTTGTACATGTTGGCGGTGTATAGACATAGTACTCTAAAATAAATAGCAAATTATTCTGTGTTTTGGTTTTAACTTCATGAATATAGTCTGTGGCATATTTCAGATAGGTCGATCTGTATTGCTATAAAATCACAAAGACACACCACAAAGACATATCACAAAATCGTAAAGAACTACAAACTATCATAATTTTCATGATCTTACTGTACATTAATGAGTGCAGTATAGAGTTAAGGAAACTAAGCCTAGTTGAGGACATAATTACCTACGCTCCATTGAAGCAGTGGGGTTGTGATTTTTAATGTTTTTGATTTTTTTTTATATTTTGGTTCTGTAATGATCTATCAATGGAATTTAAATAATTAGCAAACAAATACAATTTAAATAGGTAATCTCATGGCGTCGGTTAATCTCAGCAAAAGACAATAGTTTAAACACGGAAAACAATTTAATATGAACAACAACAGCTTATAGAACTCTATAGAATAAGAGCGTACTCGAGCCGCGGTTGGACGAAAACAGCGAATGTGGCGCGCGGGCAGGGCTCATGAGCGGTTGCGAAACGTAGTGACCGTACAGAAACAGAAACGTTTTTATTCAATATGGATTATAAATAATACTTATTGAAAGTCACTTTTTTATTTACCACTGGTTCGCAAATAAAACCTCTGTCCTGGGAAGAACCAGCAAGAAACCCAGCGGGACTATTTTCTTTAAACAACTTTAAAAAAAATACTGTCCTATTTTATTTACAATTTTACAGCAATATCGGCTTAAACACCGTCAAAACCATGAAAATGACACCCATGAGGAAAAAATTATACCTATTGCAGCCGTCATCGTGAATTTACATTTCGACAGCACTATCGGCTTCAACACCCTCAAAAACCATGAAAATGACACCCATGACACCCAAAATTGATACATATTGCAGTCACCATCTTGGATTCACGTTTTGACAGCACTATCAGCTTCAACACCGTCGATAACTATGAAAACGATACCCATGACGAAAATATTGTTACTTATTGCAGCCGCTATCTTGCATTTACATTTCGACAGTATTATCGGTTTCAACATCCTTGAAAAACCACGAAAACGATACCTATGATGTAACAGTTGATAATTATTGCAACCGCCATCTTGGATTTTCTTTTTGATACCACTGGTGTAGCGATAGGCCGTCCCCTCGAATCCAGCTCGAAGGAACCAGAAAATGGTTGGGCCAATTGCCCCCATTTTAATCCGGCTTGTAAGAATCAGAAATGGTTGGGCGACGGGCGTAGGGGTTCCTGAGTTCGATTCCCAGATTGGGCCTTGACCCTATTACGTAAGATGTTACTAGGTGGACTGTATGTGCAGTTTCCTGATACCCCAAAACAAGATGGCTGACGTGGCACGCGACAGCCTTGAAAATAAAATGGTGCGATTTACCTAGTTTGTATATCTCCTCTCCCACGCAAATAATTGTATGCATTATTAGCGCAAGGATTAAATGAAATATCACTTTACAAGGAAATTTATTCCATCATAGATAATAAGACACGGGTTTCGTCTCTAACTGCCGCACTCAGAGACATTTAATGATTACTTAAGCCGTCAGTATGTAATGATTTAAAAAAAATTGACTCTCAGAGTTAGTTAATGATTTATTAGTAGGCCTTAGGAACCGTTAACTTTAAGTAACGCTCTACCCATACTTCGTAATGTATGATTTCGACAGGTCAATTTGTGAGGTTATGTGTGAATGCGTAGTTGTTTTCACGGATTTGTTTATTAAAATCAAATTGTGATGTTTTGAGAAAATGTCAGATTATGAAGAGTTTATTGATTTTGTGGACTATGCAAGAAGATTTAGAAAAAGAGGACCAGGACGTTATTTGCGTGATTGTTCGGTTCCATTTCAGAAGTACTGTTCAAGAATTTTACTCACAATATCGGTTTACCCCTCACGCAATAAAAATACAATAATGCCAATGTTAGAACCACATAAAAAAAAAACCTAGCAACAAAGGTCTGCCGTTTGCTCCAGAAACAATGATTCTCGTTACATTGAGATACTTTGGAAAACTGTGTGTATAACACAGTGTTTTATAAATTACTTCTTATAAATTATTGCTGCATAATCTGGTCACTATATCTGTACACATCACTGTATGTTTATAGCAAGGTGCACAGATACAGGATATATGACTGAATTAAATAAATCGATCACTTACTTGCAGTAACTAGACGGAGACGTCATGAACGTATGCCAACAGTCAATATCAAAAATTATAACTACTTTGTCTAATTCGATAGCATTACAAATGAAAATGTTTGTAAAATTTCTATCTACAGTAGAAGATATCAATCAAGTAAAGTATGTTAATGATATAAACATATATATTCCAGTAATAAGGGTATCCGGTTCTCTACACTCACTATACGAAACACGTCAGCATTAAGCTGCTATTTTACGCTGGTATTCTGTGAGAGTGTGTTCTTTCCCCGTTCGAGCCAACCTATTCGTGCTACAACTATACTACTAATATAACTGCAGCATGGCTCTACAATAAAAAAAATACAAACAAGGTTAAAATAAAACACAATTTAACTAATCATTTGTTTTATTTTGTAGTGTTTTTTAAAATCTCCAATTCTAATGTAGCTTTTTCCAAAAGTATTTTATTTTTCTGTAATTCTAGCTCTGCAGCCTGTTTTTTATTTCTTGGGTAGCCAACTGTAAAAGAAAATAATATATATTAGTTTTGTACAGTTCAAGCGTACATTTTAGTGTGTAAGCGATTTATTTAGGTCAACATAATTTGCGTCATTCACTTTAGTTTTTAGCAATAGACAGTTGACGTTGTCGCTCAGAACACGATAGACGCGTTCTATATCATTATCAATATCATTATATAATATCATTATTTATTTTAAATAAAATCATTTTTCCTATCAACTATCATTTAAAGGTGTTCCGTACATCTTTATGGTCCTTCGAGCTCCGTAGCGGGACCTGAAATTCGGGTTTTAACGACCGGAAAAAGTGTTTCCGCTCAGTGACCTATTGCGACGTAGTGCACTAAGTGACGTGTGCAATAGCTTTCCAGTCTGTACTAATAAGTGTGCAGCATCATTTCATTATCAATAAGCTCCGGCCATCGGTGTCACAAAGCATCAAGGATCAAGCAGTATTTGTGGGCGTAGCGAGTCTTGGGGCGCCGCCCAGCAGTAGCAGCTTGCAGCGCATCATTAGAATCTAAGTCTTCGTTGGATACTTACCACCACTACAACACGAACGCGCCAACCACCTCTGCACAATCAGCAACCAGCATCACATCAAGTAAGATCTTTCCATTTTACTTATCTCTATATCATGATGTCTGTCAACGATGTCCTCACTACGCAACAGCAGTTATAAACAGCAATTGAAAATTTGTATACTAATTTCAAGAAGGACGGGTCTGATAGGAAGACTCCAGACTATATCAAACGCAGATTAAATACTCTAGACAACTATTGGTTGGAGTATGAGAAGAATTATCAGCATTTATCACAACTGGATATGGATGTACCAAGCAGAGAAAGAATAGATCAAGAACGTGAAAGATTGAAGGAGAGATTTGACAACATTAGAGCGCATATCCAAAACTATCAGCCTTTGACAGAGGATAGACCTGGAACAACACTGTTAAAGCCCCCTACATTTGTCTCTAAAACAAATCCAATCACGCCACAAATAAGTACAAGATCAACATCGAGCAAAACAGAAGAAATGTTGAGAAAACAGAATAGCAATTTTAAAGCATTTCAACGAACACTATCAAATATCAACCTGGAATTAGTATCAGAGAGATGGGAATTCGAAGACTTGTTGACTTGTTGGCAAAGCAAGATAGAAAACATACCTGACGAACTCACCATGACCCAAGAAGATGCTCAATGCCTGGAGTATTTCAAAAACACGACAACAAGGCAAGAAGATGGGAAATACATAGTTAGATTGCCATTTATATCAGAAGCAGTTCAAAAATTGGGAGAATCAAAATCAAGAGCAATAGCGCAGTTTAAACAGTTAGAAAAAAGATTTACTTACCGAAAAGATATTGAAAAAGAATATAAATCATTTATCCACGAGTACTTGGAATTAGGTCATATAAAAATGTCGCCATGCAACAAGACGCCTGTCTACAGTCTGTATTTACCACATCATTGCATTCACCGACCGGAGTCAACAACAACTTCGCTTCGAGTAGTCTTTAACGGAGCGTCAAAAACTTCGAGCGGCTTAAGCTTGAACGACGTGATGCACCAAGGTCCCAACCTGCAACAGGACCTGTTATCACTAATTATTACCTGGCGACAGTACCAATATGCCTACACCGCTGACGTCGAGAAAATGTTTCGGCAAATTCTCATTCACGAAGAAGATCAGAGATATCAAAGAATCATATGGAGAAATTCACCAACTGAAACTTTACAAGAATATCAATTAGCTACTGTCACATATGGTACTAAAGCAGCACCATTTCTTGCCATGATGGTATTGAAACAGCTAGCCAAAGATGAAGGTCATAAGTATCAGGAAAGCCCAGCAGCGAAGGTCCTGCAAGAACATTTTTATATGGACGAACTGATCAGTGGGGGTCATGACCTCGCATCGGCTAAAAAGTTACAATCAGACTTAAAAAACTTACTAAAAGCAGGTGGATTTAATTTAAGAAAATGATCAGCCAATACACCGTGTCTTCTAGAGGGAGTCAGCACAGCAAATACCAACCAGCAAACATATGACTTCAAAACCGAAGTATCTAGAAAAACCTTAGGCCTGCAATGGCTTACGCAATCAGATCAGCTGACTTTTGACTTGAATATCGATTTATCAACATCAAAACTAACGAAACGAAGCTTGTTATCAAATATCTCAAAGCTCTACGACCCAGTAGGATTCTTAACGCCAGTTAGCACAAAATTGAAATTATTATTCCAAAAAATTTGGCAATATGACTTAAAATGGGACGACGAGCTTCCTCATGAGATTCAAGTGGATTGGACGAAGATCAAAGAAGATATCAAAAATATATCACAGATACGTATACCAAGATGGTTAAAGAGCAACAAAAATGACGTCATCATTCTTCATGGGTTCAGTGACGCGTCGATGAACGCATACGCTTGCGCAATTTATTGCAAGGTAGTTCGTGAAAAACAAGAGGGAAGTAAAAACATATCCGTCGTCCTCGTTACAGCAAAATCCAGGCTAGTACCACCGAAAAAGAAGATCAGCTTACCTCGCTTAGAACTGTGTGCAACCCTACTTTTATTAAAGCTCATGAAAAAGGTGAAATCATGTTTGGCAGATTACATTATCAAAATGTTTGGATGGTGTGATTCGACAGCAGTATTGGGTTGGTTGCAAGGAGATCCGAAACGCTGGAACGTTTTTGTACCCAACAGAGTAGCTAAGATCACAGAAGTTTTACCATCGGAATGTTGGCGCTACGTCAAGCCGCAGGATAACCCAGCTGACTGTGCCAGCCGAGGAATCAGCACGAAACAGCTTCATCGACATCAATTGTGGTGGCATGGACCAGCGTGGTTATCATACTCCGACGATGATAACGTAAAGAAGATCACTTACACCACCGATGAAGAGGTCAAAACCATAAAGCAAGTACACACCACAACCTGCTCAAGCGAAGACGACGTCATTACCCAATTAATAAGCAAGCACAGCAGTTTCACGCGAGTGACACGAATATTAGCCTACATACTACACGTATAAAGCAAAATAATAAGTGTAGCGGCGCTGCCGTCGCCGCCACAAGCGAAAACACACCGAAGCCTAAATCGCGCTATCAACATTCCGAATCAGAAACAGTATATATAGAACATCTCCGAACTATCACATGGAGTGTTGGCCGCTCCCCGGGCAGAACACCTTGCCCGGCGGGAGATCTCCCCTTTTCCTTCCACGGCCACAGTGGTGACCCCGACGTGATCTGAACACGCAACCAAACAACCTTCGGAAACTTCAAGCATCATCATCGTCATAGAATACCCCACCCATTCGCTCCCGAACAGATATCGTCTGCAGTCTTCATATCCTGCTAGTCATCTAGCTTCACAAGGTTCATCGCAGCACTGGAATAGTAATGCTTCCTGTTCCTTCAAGCTACTCTCTGCGCTATACAGTGTTCGGCACGGCTCTGAGCCTTACTGCTCGCCTCTGCTTCACGGCACTCTCGCAGATTACTTGCCTTCTTCTCGACTCACCGCAGACTACAAGGCAATCCACTGGCACTTGCACATTCGTCGGCAACAAGGCTGCACTAACGACCTCCGGTCTGAGCAGGGGGTGATGTAGCGGCGCTGCCGTCGCCGCCACAAGCGAAAACACACCGAAGCCTAAATCGCGCTATCAACATTCCGAATCAGAAACAGTATATATAGAACATCTCCGAACTATCACATGGAGTGTTGGCCGCTCCCCGGGCAGAACACCTTGCCCGGCGGGAGATCTCCCCTTTTCCTTCCACGGCCACATAAGCAAAGCTATTTAACAGCACAAGAATTACAAAAGGCAAAGCAAAAAATTATCAAGCACGTACAAAGCAAGGAGTTTGGAGAAGATATCGGCTATTTACAAAAGTATAACAAAGCAAGGCCAAATAGCAAATTATTACCTTTAAATCCTTTTATCGATTCTGAAGGTACGTTGAGAGTAGGTGGTAGACTGCAAAACGCTTCGATCAGCAAAGAAATGATGCATCCCCTTATCATCCCCCACGAGAGTCACCTGACACACCTACTCATTGATCAAGCCCATAAAATGACATATCACGGAGGAGCCCGTGTCACCTTAGCGTGGCTACGACAACAGTATTGGGTCCTAGGTGGGAACAGAGCAATCAAAAAACGCCTGCGCAACTGCGTAACCTGTAAAAAACACAACCCTACTACTACTAAAACATTATCAGCTTATGGGCGATCTTCCTGAAGCAAGAATAATTCCGTCGCGACCATTTCTTCGAACAGGGGTGGATTTTTCAGGTTTTGTGGACGTAAAATCAAGTAAAGGCAGAGGAATAAAGACCTTTAAAGGATACATAGCAGTGTTTGTTTGTATGGTCACAAAAGCCATACATCTTGAGTTAGTATCCGATTTAACTTCATCAGCATTCTTAGCAGCATTAAGAAGAATGGCGGCGAGGCGTGGCACACCACATCACATTTACAGCGATAATGGTACGAATTTCGTTGGTGCCAACCGAATCATCAATCAAGAAATAATTGATCTAAAATCCATTATCACAAATGAGTTCTTATCAGAAATAAGCGAAATGAATATCACATGGCATTTCAATGCTCCGTCATGGCCCAGTGCGGGGGGTCTGTGGGAAGCGGCTGTGAAGAGTGTTAAATACCATCTACGCAGGGTCATCGGCGAACAAAAACTCACCTTCGAGGAGTTCTCAACACTGCTAACACAGATAGAAGCCTGCCTGAATTCTCGATCGCTCTGCGCTATCACTGAAGATCCAAATGATATCAATTACCTGACTCCATCTCACTTTCTGGCCAGTGGTCCAGTTTTAAGTATCATGGAGACAGAGAAAGACGAAAGAACACGTTGGCATATGACGCAGAAGATATTCAATGATGTTTGGAAGTGCTGGAAGTCTGAATATCTGACAGCATTATCCGCCAGGAACAAATGGCAGCAATCAACTGAAAATGTCAAAATTGATGACATTGTAATCATTCATGAAGCAAACCTACCTGCTGGGAGATGGGCATTAGGGAGAGTTATCGATGTTCACCCCGGCAAAGATGGAATAGTCCGAGTAGTTACTGTTAAAACAAAAAACGGGACTATTAAGAGACCTATCACAAAATTAACCATTTTACCAAATCAGTCTGAAGGAAACTATCCCACAAACTGTCAATCAAGTCCGAAAAACAATCAAGAATTAAGTTTGAAAGCAGATCACAAAAACGACAAACCAGAAAAAGCACGATCTAGTATCAAACTTTGTAATTTTATCATGTACACACTGCTTCTTTTTACGTTATTCGCACAAACAGCACAAGGATCATTTAATGTAACAAATTTTAAGGATACCCAGAGTTTATACTTCGATAAACCATCAAACATGAGGCTTATCCGAGATGAATGGAAAATCATTGTTTATTACGATTTAGATCCGTACTGGCAAGGTTCGAAACTACTAAAAGTATATCATCGAAAACATATGTTCAAAATTGCAAGAGCGACAACAATGTGACATAATCCTATTACAATTACGACACTGGAGCACCGAGTTACACTACTACGATCAGCTGTTGCTTGGTCAGCAGTCGGCGGCGGGAATACGAGTAAGTCGCGGGCTTATCAATGGCGTGGGAAATGTCGCGCATGCACTATTCGGCGTACTTGACAATGACTTCGCCGAACAATATACAAAGGACATTGAACTCATTAGAAACAATCAAAACCATCTCGTAAAATTATGGAAAAGTCAGACATCAGTAATAGAAGCACAATATAACTTTTTAAAAAGATTAGAAACAACAATTGACCAACAACACAAACTCTTCCATCAGCATATCAATAAATTAGAGCAAGAAAATTCTTGAATAAAACTATTATTTACGGATTTTATCGCGTTTAATTACTTTAATTTATTTTTATTATTATCCCGACGTTTCGGGTGCTTTACAGCGCCCATGGTCACGGGGGGGACAAATTTAAGAAATCATTACAAGAAAATTCTGTTATTAAAGACTCTTCTTTATTGTATCTCTATACAAAAATTAAGAGCTAGCAACGAGTTTACCTTATCATCTGTAATATCAAACAACATCTTAGTTAATTTGAAAAAGATACAAAATACCTTGCTCGATGTTGTTACCGACATTTATCAGGGGAAATTTAATATACTCGTACATATACTATCACCTGAACAATTACAAGATGAGCTTAGCATCATTTCTGGACATTTAGCAAAAGATCTATCTTTGCCTATAGATGATATACACAACGGCGTATCAAAATTGTATCATTTACTGAGAGTAAAGGTCAAGGTCACATATCAAAACCTTTTAGTCGAAATTAAAATACCACTTTTAACCAGAGAAAGCTATGACATCTATAGAGTTTTACCTATTCCTCAATCATACGACAATAAGATGATAAACATAATTCCCATCTCTGATTACTTTGCTGTAAATATCCCAAGAGACTCATACATACCTATGGCTGAAGCCGAAGTACAATCATGTCTACATTCAGACCTCACCACGAAACTTTGTGAGTTACGAGGTCCTGTTTATCATATGCAAAATGATCAAAATTTGTGTATCAAGAATCCTTCAACAGACCAATGTCTCACTAATATTAACAGTTGTAAAAATTCATGGAATGCGCTCAACACTATAAAAACATACTTATTTTTCTGCTGCGAACAATGCACTCTTCGAATCATATGCGGCAATCAAGTTACATCGGAGCGCGTCAGCAAGGCCGGCGTTTTATCAGTCGGGAGTAATTGCATGCTCAAGGGAGACGCATTCATAATCTATCCACAAAACTATCACATCAACACAATGCACGCACACCCCGATTTGTTAGCCATAGATATTCCACCTATCAACAACATAATCAACTTGACCATACCTATCAGTAAAGGTGACATAAGCCAACCAGAGGAGAGAGAACGACAAGCGTCCTTGAAGGAGATCGGGGGTCAAATCGATCAAATGAAAAAAAAAACATAGATGTTGAAGTGAATCAGCTGTCAACCCACGACTTACACCAATATGTCGTTATCTACGTGTTAGTGGGAGCACTCGGGGCAGCGGGCGTAGTGGTACTTTGGAAGCGAGTGAGACAAGCGCGCCGGCGGAGCCTAGCGCCTGCGGCCCGCCCGGAGCCGGCACCACGGTTATCTCTTCCTGACATTCCTCGTGCGTGTACAAGTGATAGTGTCAGTGCCAATCAAAACATGTCAGTGCAAAGTGCGCGAGTACAAAACAAAGGCACCTCACCCGTATTTGCGAGAGTGTGCTTGAAGGACAAACAAGTAAAATAGATCTGGACATAGACCTTTAACTACTTATTTTCATTTTATTTATTAGTGACACACTATGATAGTTTCTTAACTTAGTCATTATCTTATATCATTATCATTTTATCTTATATCATTTTTGTTGTTTCCTATCTATCTTATCACTCTCATCTCTCGCCCGGGAGCATGTACAGTGCAAGCGTACATTTTAGTGTGTAAGCGATTTATTTAGGTCAACATAATTTGCGTCATTCACTTTAGTTTTTAGCAATAGACAGTTGACGTTGTCGCTCAGAACACGATAGACGCGTTCTATATCATTATCAATATCATTATATAATATCATTATTTATTTTAAATAAAATCATTTTTCCTATCAACTATCATTTAATGGTGTTCCGTACAAGTTTATAGTTAGTTATTGAAACTACATATTACAGCTATGCGCTGTTTCTAGGGACAGTAGATGAAATTAAAACTGCTGGGATCTGATAGTAATATGATATAATTTACTTGATTGAGCTATATAGATATATTTAAAGTTAACTATTTATTTATTTTCATATTAAAAATATGAATATATCTGCTAAAAAAACAAAATAACCTATTAAATGAAATAAAACTAACAAACTAAAGTAAAAACCTGATGTGAGTTTTCTGTTCGCTGGCTTAAAGGTAGCTAGTAAATTATTATAATGTATACCTTTGAATTTAATAATTTTTTAATCTTAGAACACCTTCTTTTCTCACATAATCGGCAGGTTTTCGAGGAACACAATCAGTTTGAATGGAATGTTGTGTTAATCTTGAGTTGCTGATGAAAAAATATGTGTTAAAACATGTAAAATACACCCAAACAGTATTTTACACATTAACTATTAAAATGAAGTTTTTTTCTTTATATGTTACCTGTGTTATTTGTAACTTGAGTTGGCAGTGGTGAGCATATTTTCAGACTCTGTAAGGTGATTTTTGTCTGGTTCATTATTATCTGAAATAATCAAGTTATGTCAAATTATACGCTATTATGCATATAAGGATAATAGAACTGTAGTATTGAAATCCTAACACCTAGCTGTTTAGCTTTTGGGGTAGATATTTTAAAGAGGCATTATCCGAAAAAACAGCGATTGTTTACCACTGTCGCAGTTTACGGTTACGATTGATAGTGTACGCAATGCAATTACGTTATGCTCGTTCAAACTAGGTAAGACAATTTTATTTTTCGAGCAGGTGTTTTACCATCTGACATCTCTTAATTAACATGAAAAATATAAAAAATAAATAAAGGTGACAGTTCTATATATAATACCTGAATTTAACGAAACAATTCGCAACAAAGAATTTCTGAAACGTATACATTGTATTTTGTAAGAAGTAATTTGAACTCAAATGCATCTGAAAAACATTTGTATAATATGCTGCTCGTAAGCAAAACTGGAGATGCTCTAATTGTATTGATAAAAGGATTTTAAAAAAGAAAGATTATAACACCTCAGTGACTACGCCGTTACCAGAACACTGGTGACCTATCAGATATAAATGTGACACGAAGAAATAAAGGAAAAATTAATAAAAACATCACATAATACTGTATTAGTATGGACATGACAAAATTTCTAGAAATACTGCAATGCTCAATAAAAGTAAAGCTACACCGTATTCCGAGAGCGAAACAATACATTTTAATAAGGTAAGTCTTTTATTTAATACGAAAATTGAACAAATGAAAGAGTCCATACTATTTTATTAAATCATACAATTCATACAGAATCTAAAGATGTCATCAAAAACTTCGATATGAAACGTAATGCAACAACCAAATATATAAAGATAAACAAAATAATGTTAGACAGCAATTAGAAACCATTTACACACACAGAAAAATTAAATATATATATATATAGAACTTTAACTTAACAAGTTAATTAATTTAAAAAAAAAATTCCTTTTTTATATGAATGAATGAATTGAAATTTAAACAAATTTGCCGCTCATTCATTCAATTACGAATATTCGTGTATACCCTTATATTGAAGAAATAAAGCGAATAGGCAATCATGCAAACCGTTGAACATTTGTAATAGAATTTAACAGTATAAAAATTATTAAGTACATTTTTAAAAATTCAAGATTATTCAAAATTACTTGACTAGCAATTTCAATTATATTTCCATTTAATAAGAAATTGAGAAAATATTTAATACAAAGCCGTTTTTACAGTTTGGAAGAATAAATCCAAAATTAAACTACACCACAATAAATATAATTACATATTATAAGTTTTCTGTATTTAATTATTACGTAATTATTTTTTTTATCATTGTGATAAATCGCTTTATTATAACTAAAAACTTTATCCAGTATAGCTATGTAAGTCACAGACCTATTATTGTAATACCCGAAAAGGGTAGTTAAGTTTTAAGGTACATCATATTTTAAATTAACACCAAATGTAATACTCAACTTGTAATAAATATTTTGAATTTTAATTTAAATTTTAACTTATTTTTCAATGTGGACTTTAGATATGTAAAAGTAGGTATGCTACGGGTACAATCACAGAAATCGTAATAATAAGACAATATACGATAATTAGGTCAGTTCAATAACGTTATGTTATAATTCATCTGAATATTTTATGTCTTTTTTACTTAATTGGGAAATTCGGCGGCATAAAAAAATTAAAAAAAATGAAAAAAAAAATGAAATTGCCCAAATTAGCAAATATAAAAATATTATTTAAAAAATTTATATAAAATTTCTAGTGGTTTATTATCACTCTGGGATTCATTTAAAATAGGTGTAATATAAATAAGGGCGTAAAATAAATTCCCTATCCTGGAACAGGTAAGAATTAGTCGCGAGCCCCGATGCGTGATGTTTGACTCCACATACCCTTGATACATATTTTTTTATTTCTCTAACATGTAGCTTTCTTCCAACAGTTCTACTTCAACTATTATCACGTAATAAACGGCATCAATAATTATCAGCACATAAAATTGTAATCAATAATGTTATTGGTTCCGGCAGGAGTCGAACTCGGTTTGCTCATGTACTATAAACATTTTAGGGCTAGCACTTATTTCCCGAGTGGAGACATAGTATATAACACTCATATGCATTCAAACTTTTTTTCAGTTTATAATGTGATTTAAAATGGGACACCCAAATCTAGAATAATTTAAAATATTACATATATCTACAAATCTATAATCTTGCTATCACTTACTAGTGAGTTGAGTTTTCGACAATTTTTATTGAATATATTGATTTTCGGCGAAACAAGTGCATTGTGTTTTATTTAAAATAAAAAATTTAAATCAACAAATAAGGCAGAGAAACTTTTCACGGTACGTCAATTGACACTAGCGCTCTACTTGTTTTGGTTGTTTTAAAATAGTTGCCTCTATATGCCGTACACAGGCAGAGCATTGAATTTTCATGAAGTGCATGTGAATTCAGCGACCCATTAATATTTGTTGGTTTACCAGTGCTCGGTTTTCTAACAACTATTTTTATTTGAAGTTGTTCTTTTAATTAAAAGAATTTACTTTTAATAAATATTGCATGTTGGAAGTTTTCGGAAATTGACTATGATATTTTGCTGCCTAAGCATTTTTTTTAATGTGTTATGAGTAGGGCTGTATTATATGCTTATAAAATCTAGTCAAAATTTAGTATTAATGTATAAGGCGCTTATTAACGAGCTATTTTCATGCTTAAAAATATAGGTAAATGGCTGTTTGGAACCATATTTGTATACGTATTTCATTATTACTTAAAATATAATTGTATACTATAATGGATTTATAAAACATAGTTTAAATAAAATTTAACAAAAATAGAAACAAAGCATTTTGCCAATCTTTTTACTCGAGTAGCCTGTGGGTATCATACAGGCGACGAGCTTACAGCGCCCTTCGTATACAATACAATAACGCTTTTAGGATGTTATTAGGACTGCCATGGCGGTGTAGTGCTTCGAAAATGTTCGCGAATGCTAGGACTGATGGATTTCATGTTGTTATGCGAAAGAAATCAGCCTCAATGTTACAGCGTCTCCAAAACAGCACCAATAGCATTTTAAAAATTATTGCGGCGAGACCAGATTGCCACTTTCAGCGACACTGGGTAGAGCTGGCAATAGGACTAAAATGTCAATGAATTTTGTATGTATATATAATTATAACGTAGGTATAAATACTAACATTACTAACATAGTTATTAAGTAAAATTGTTACTAATATACTTACACTTAATATGGACGAATTATGTCTGAAATAAAGTGATTATTATTGTTTGGGGTATCTATATAATTTTCTCATCTGGTTGGGTTATATAAATATATAATTATAAATTAAAATGAAACGATAAATATACATAAATATCAATAAAATAAAATAAATACAAAAATACATAAATAAATAAAAGCCCAACCTGATGGAAGCCCTCGGCAGGGGAGACCAAACGACCGAGGGTTAGGAGGAAAGGGAAAGAAACCGGCGGCCGATGCGGGCGATATCGAGGAGCACCGCCTTTTGCATTTGAGCCCGGAGCGGTCCGTCACGGAGTCCCAGTCGCCTCAGATGACCCGAGAGGCTGACTGGGATTAGCCCATTCGCAGAGACGACTACAGGAATAATTTCGGCCGGCAGACCACCCCACATATCGGTCACCTCGTGAGCCAGGTCCAGATATTTTGTTCGTTTATCTGTTTCGGCTTTCACGAGGTTCTCGTCATACGGAATGGTAATGTCGACCAAAAATATCCTTGACTGTGCCCGGTCCATCAGCACAATATCAGGCTTATTCGCAAGAATAGTCCTGTCTGTGATGATGGCCCGGTCCCAGTAGAGCCTAGCGCGGTCATTTTCGAGCACGGCTTCCGGTAAGTACTTGTAATACGGCAATTTTCGATCCACGAGACCGTATTTCAGAGCGAGCTCCTGGTGTAGAATTCTGGCTAAGAGGTTGTGCCTGTGCAAGTACTCAGAATTAGAAAGCGCCGAACAACCGGAGATGACAAGCCTAAGTGACTCACCGGGATGGCGACAAGCTCGACAGACGTCGATGGTGCCATCCTTTAGGATGTATCTCCGATAGTTGTTGGTCTTAATAACCTGATCCTGTATTGCACAGACAAAACCCTCGATTTCCCCAAAAAGGTCACCGAAACGTAGCCAGTTGAGGGAGGCGACTGTATCTACGAAGGGCTCATGTAGAACCCTGTAGTACCTCCCGTGGAGCTCCTTCTCCTTCCATACGGTCTCCCGGTCGGAAATCTTTTACTCTGGTCTCCTTCTCTTGCTAAGATGGAGGGGTAAGTCCTTTATCACTAGAAATAATCCGCTCCCAGAAAACCACCAAAACCACCCCACCATTCCAATACAGCCTCATTACCGACGACCTCGGATGATGAATCCTATGGGACGTCATGGTAGTGCGGACTTTTCTATCCAGGGCGTTAAGTTCAGTCTGAGTCCACCTGAGTATGCCAAAGGTATACATAAGGACAGGCATGACCCAACCGTTATATGCGTGTGTCTTATTCACACCGAACAAAAGGCTATTAAGCACTTTGGTCAAGCGTGCATAAAACACGTCGCAAACTGACTGTTTCACACCAGCCTCATCGATACCGATGTTCTGTGACATACCCAGGTATCGGTATGTTTCAGCCTCGGAAAGGGTCCTTAAGTTGACGGGCATAGATAAATCTATGCCCTCAGAGTTAGCAGCCCTTCCCCTCTCAACATGGAGGACCGCACACTTATCCGTCCCCAGCTCCATTCCAATGGAACTGCTAAACTCACAAGTGACTTTTAGCAATTCGACAAGATGGGAGCGACTGGAGGCGAATAACTTAAGGTCATCCATATAGAAAAGGTGGGTCACTTTTGTCCCTCTTTTCCGTAGCTGAAATCCTCTCCCGGATCCCTCCAGTAAGGTACTGAGAGGGTTCAAAGAGAGGCAGAACCAGATTGGACTCAGACAATCGCCCTGGAAGATACCCCTTCTTATCCTTATGTGGTTCTCCGCAGCCATCATCCGCTCACCCAGATGACAAAGGATCGTACTCCACTGCCCCATACACTGCTCGAGGAAGTCTCTCACTGTACAGTCTATCTTGTACAGCTCGAGGACTCTCCTTAGCCATGTATGGGGCACCGAGTCGAATGCCTTTCTGTAGTCTATCCAGGCGGCGGAGAAGTTCCGACGGTTGCATTTCACCACTTTGCCAATGACCGCGTCAATGAGGAATGGTTCCTTAGTTCGACGACCACAGCCCCGACATCCATTTTGAGCGCGTGACATCACCTGATTTAGCTCCAGGTGACGAGTGATTCTCGCGCTCATAATGGATGTCAGTGTCTTATATATGGTTGGTAGACACGTAATGGGACGGTATTTGCTCGGGTCTGTGGTAACCTGGTCTTTAGGAACCAAATGAGTGATCCCAGTAGTGAAGAGGCTAGGGAGCGACTTCTGGTTGAGAGCCTCTTGAAACTGACGGGCGAGCACAGCATGACACACCATGAACCCCTTCAGCCAGTAGTGATGCAGTCCGTCGAGTCCCGGACTTTTCCAGTTCGGGGCTCTACGGACCGCCTCAGCTACGTCATCCGGCGTTATGATGTCGGGGTCCATGGGCGTAATACTCGCACACTGACTCGCCACAACTTCCGTCCAAGGGCCCTCGCTGTGGTTTACGGGCTCTGACCACAGGCCACGCCAAAATGCGACAGTGTTAGCCTGATCCGGTCCTGGGCCCGCTCCACATACCTCTGGTCGCTCCAACGATTTGTAGAGCCTCTTCTGATCACTCTGGAAGAGACGATTCTGGTTGAACCGCTTTGACCTCTCGGCAAATCGGCGAATCCGCTTCCCCCAAGCAGCAATCTTTTGCTTCAGGTCGTCTATGCGCTCCGTTAGTTTCTGCGTGATATCCGGCTGGGACAAACTGATATTTGTCCCAGCAAACGCCATTCATTCTCTGAAGCTTATCAGTCTGCCGATAAGGGCCCTTGCCTTTGCGATACGGTCCTCAATTCTTTTTCTCCAGGCTGGGATGGCGCTACTTTGTTTAGTAGCGCGTCCAGCCATGGGAAGTTTGGCGCCAATAATACGGCAAGCTGCCACTGCGGCGCCAGAAAGAACTGAGTCCGTCTCGCAAAGGTCCCGGCTGGCTTCCAAATAAGTTACCAGCATTGGGTTAAGAGCCCTCACGACAGCCCGATTTCGCTTGCTTAGGGGTATGCGGGGGAAGTCGCGGTCGATTTTCGAGAGGCATGCTGCGCGTTTCCAAAATCGCCTCTTCCAATATAGTCCACATTTGCTCTAGTTCGTGGGAGACCATTTCATCATCGTTTGAATCACCCACAACTGGAAGATCCATGGCGGCTTCTACGCGTGGCAGCTGGTCTGTCGCCTGAGGAGCCTCACCCCCAGCTGTAGCCAATTCATTCGACGAGGGTATGGCATCACGTCGTAGTCGTTCGAGCTCGGCATCATCGAATGTTTTCGAGCGCATGATGTACCGAACTCGGTCTGCCAGGTTTTGTTCCGTGACGGGAATAGACGGCTCCAGCTCAGCAAAAAAGCAATGCATCCGAGCCCGATACGCTATCCCCGCAGTTTCTTCCCCTTTCACCCTATAGTACGCCCGCAATGCGTTTGCGTTCATATCCCTTGTCCAACGCATGCGACGCACTCCGCCACCGATGCCGCTTGCCGAGTCCGAGAGGACCCTGCCGACATCAAGCCGTCTGGTGGGGATGATGGATGCAGGGGGCTGTTAGGTGATCTTGCAGCTCCTCGCGCTCGGCTGGCGGCCCGCATGCTGCCGCGTACAGCGCCAGCTCCAGACGCGCCCCGGCGACCCCCAGGCAGCGGCCCTATACGTTTTCCAATCTTATCCATCATCTATTTTTGGGCGCCAATTAGCGGGAGACGCCCAGACCCGGCACCGTTTCATTGTATCATTGTACGGTCGTAAGTACAAACGGGCCTTTGCACCCTGAGTACCGCCGAGGCACGGCGCTCACACCTCTTGGCAAGGCGCTGACTGACTGCACCGACGTAGCAGTTTTGTCACTTAACTGTTTCGTCAGCGGGCGATGGGGTCGTCACTTCCCTACGCCTTTTATTATTATGTGTGGGGTATCTATATAGTTTTCTCATCTGGTTGGGATGTATAAATATATAATTATAAACGAAAATGAAAAGATAAATATACATAAATATCAATAAAATAAAATAAATACAAAAATACATAAATAAATAAAAGCCCAACCAGATGGAAGCCCTCGGCAGGGGAGACCAAACTGCCAAGGGTTAGGGGGAAAGGGAGAGAAACCGGCGGACGATGCGGGCAGTATCAAGGAGCACCGCCTTCTGCATTTGAGCCCGGAGCGGTCCGTCACGGAGTCCCAGTCGCCTCAGATGACCAGAGAGGCTAACTGGGATTAGCCCATTCGCAGAGACAACTATAGGAATAATTTCGGCCGGCAGACCACCCCACATGTCGGTCACCTCGTGAGCCAGGTCCAGATATTTTGATTGCTTATCTGTTTCGGCTCTCACGAGGTTCTCGTCATACGGGATGGTAATATCGACCAAAAATATCCTTGACTGTGCCCGGTCCATCAACACAATATCAGGCTTATTCGCAAGAATAGTCCTGTCTGTGATGATGGCCCGGTCCCAATAGAGCCTGGCGCGGTCATTTTCGAGCACGGCTTCCGGCAAGTACTTGTAATACGGCAATTTCCGCTCCACGAGACCGTATTTCAGAGCGAGCTCCTGGTGTAGAATTCTGGCTACTAGGTTGTGCCTGTGCAAGTACTCAGAGTTAGAAAGCGCCGAACAACCGGAGATGACATGCCTGAGTGACTCCCCGGGATGGCGACACGCTCGACAGACGTCGACGGTGCCATCCTTTAGGATGTATCTCCGATAGTTGTTGGTCTTAATAACCTGATCCTGTATTGCACAGACAAAACCCTCGGTTTCCCCGAAGAGGTCACCGAAACGTAGCCAGTTGAGGGAGGCGACTGTATCTACGAAGGGCTCATGTAGAGCCTTGTAGTACCTCCCGTGGAGCTCCTTCTCCTTCCATATGGTCTCCCGGTCGGAAATGCTAAGCACTGCTGGATCCTGCCATTGCTCGTTGGCTAAGGATAGAGGGGTAAGCCCTTTATCACTAGAAAGGACGTCATTATAAAATGGATCATCTGATCTCGCCAAGAAGTATTGACGGAGACTGTACACTTCGCGATTATGCATGGTGAGCGCGCTCAGAAAGCCACGCCCACCATACTTTCGCGGCAAGTACAGCCTCATTATCTCGGATGACTATGGGACGTCATGGTAGTGCGGACTTTTCTATCCAGGGCGTTAAGCTCAGTCTGAGTCCACCTGAGTATGCCAAAGGTATACATGAGGACAGGCATGACCCAGCAGTTATATGCGTGTGACTTATTCACACCGGACAAAAGGCTGTTAAGCACTTTGGTCAAGCGTGCATAAAACACGTCGCAAACTGACTGTTTCATACCAGCCTCATCGATACCGATGCTCTGTGACATACCCAGGTATCGGTATGTTTCAGCCTCGGAAAGGGTCCTTAAGTTGACGGGCATAGACAAGTCTATGCCCTCAGAGTTAGCAACCCTTCCCCTTTCAACATGGAGGACCGCACACTTATCCGTCCCCAGCTCCATTCCAATGGAACTGCTAAATTCACAAGTGATGTTTAGCAGTTCCATAAGATGGGAGCGACTGGAGGCGAATAACTTGAGGTCATCCATATAGAAAAAGGTGGGTCACTTTTGTCCCTCCTTTCCGTAGCTGAAATCCCCTCCCGGAGCCCTCCAGTAAGGTACTGAGAGGGTTAAGAGAGAGGCAGAACCAGATTGGACTCAGACAATCGCCCTGGAAGATACCCCTTCTTATCCTTATGTGGTTCTCCGCAGCCGTTATCCGCTCGCCCAGATGACAAAGGATCGTACTCTTATAAAAATGGTCATAATAACGTATTATTATAAAAATGGTCATAATGGTCATTATTTAAAAACATTATTTACCTAAAAAATAAAAATATAAATTTCTTTGCAACTTTCCGCTAAACATATAAAATGATGTGTCTTACCTGGATTGAAGCGCACCTCCCGCCCTCCCTCAATTGCATACACTAACTCCGTCACTACTAGACCAAGCACCACTACTCTCAACACCACTATTCCAGGCAAGACACATGGTGTCATCATTCAACGTCACATCGACGCCATTTTATATGTTTAGCGGAAAGTTGCAAAGAAATTTTATTTCCGTCGATGGTGTGTCTTGCCTGGAATAGTGGTGTTGAGAGTAGTGGTGCTTGGTCTAGTAGTGACGGAGTTAGTGTATGCAATTGAGGGAGGGCGGGAGGTGCGCTTCAATCCAGGTTAACAAAAGCTTACCGCTGAACATACCTTCATATTAAAATCATGCATATCTCCTTAATTTCGTTGCCCTAAACCAAAGTGTATATATTTCTTTATATGCTTATCATATGTATGTATAAATTTCCTTAATTCCCGTAACTATTGCTTATTTTTACGCAAAAACACACATTTAAATGAAACTGGTTTTACGGATTTTATCGCGTATATTAACTTATTTTACATTTTACGTTAAGGCCTTACCCCTAGCGAACGACCTTGAGCGTTCGGTCCTCCAACTCTCGCTACAATATATCGCGTAAGAAATCTGCAAGACGCCACCTACTGTACGAACGTAGTATTATTTTTTCAATGTCAATGAACTATTTTATGGAAATAGACACGGCAGACAATGATAAATGTATTTTAGTTTTCTTTATTCGGTATATTAGTTGCATTATATTAGAACTATGTATTCTCATATATTATCTAATTAATAAAAATAACTATTTTGATTATTTTTAACTATATACTATACTGCTAATATTAAAATAGCTTTTTATAGTGTAAATTATAATATTTGTCGAAATGTTAATTATGCATTCGAACTTTACATGCTAATGGTGCTTCATTTTTGTTATTTTCATTTACTTACATATTAAAAATATACTTGAATAGTAGGTATATTTTCAATATGCAAGTAAAAATAATTATATTATTAATAAATAAATTATTTTATTTTATTTCCCAACGTTGTTGCGGATTCCATCGCTGATGTGGTACTTCAGGGTATGGAACTTTTTATTCCTTCCTCTGTGGTGCCTATTGGAGGCAAATCTCAGCCATGGTTTGGTCGCTCCTGTAAAATAGCATCATGCTATAAGCATGAGTGCTACCGATCCTGGGCTGACGCATCAGCGTCCCGGGATGTAAACACCAGCGCTATAAAAAAGAAGTATAATTCCGCCTCTAGGTCCTTCAAAAGAGTCATTGCTAAGGCAAAGTCAGAGCACATAGGCAGAATTGGCGAGAAACTAGTTCGCCTTTCTTCTGGAACTCCTGCATTCTGGTCTCTCGCCAAGGCTGTCCAGGGGAATTTCTGTCAGCCATCTCTTCCATCTCTGCACAGGGAGGACGACTCACTGGCCCATACCGCAAAGGAGAAAGCCGATCTTCTGGGCTCTTTCTTTGCGTCCAACTCGACTCTCGATGACGGGGGAAGTACGCCGCCGACCATCCCGCGGTGTGAGTGCTTCATGCCGGAAATGCAGTTCACACAGGGCTCGGTTCGCAAAGCACTCCTCTCCCTGGACATCCACAAGTAGAGTGAGCCTGACGGGATCCCCCCAATTGTGCTAAGGACGTGTGCTCCAGAGTTGGCACCGGTTTTAACGCGTCTTTTCCGGTGCTCCTACTCACTAGGCGTAGTCCCAAAATCATGGAAGACGCCTTTCGTCCATCCGATTCCTAAAAAAGGCGACCGCTCAGACCCGTCCAACTACCGGCCTATCGCCATCACCTCCTTGTTCTCCAAAACAATGGAGTCCATTGTAAACTGCCAGCTCATGAGGTACCTTGAGGATTACCAGCTGATTAGTAACCGCTAATACGGTTTTCGCCGTGATCGATCAGCTGGTGATCTTCTGGTCTACCTAACTCACAGATGGGCGGAGGCAGTAGAGTCCAAGGGGGAGGCATTGGCCGTTAGTTTGGACATTGCAAAGGCCTTCGATCGGGTTTGGCACAAAGCGCTTCTTTCGAAGCTCCGTTCCTATGGGCTTCCCGAGAAATTGTGCGATTGGATCACCAGCTTTCTTGCAGATCGGAGCATCAAGGTCGTTGTAGACGGCGCAAGCTCCGATTGTAAGCCTATTAATGCTGATGTTCCACAGGGCTGCATGCTATCGCCAACGCTGTTTCTTCTGCATATCAGTGATATGTTGCAAGCCTGTAACATTCATTGCTATGCAGATGACAGCACCGGTGATGCTCTTTACACCGGCCGAGCCAATATTTCTCGGGAAAACGTCTCCGAGTGCCGGGACAAACTTGTGTCTGAAGTCGAGTCCTTGCTGAACAGAGTCTCGGATTGGGAGCGACTAAATCTAGTCCAATTTAACCCCCAGAAGACACAAGTTTGCGCGTTAACCGCTAAAAAGAACCCCTTTGTCGTATCTCCTCAGTTTTA